TTTTTGTCTAATAGTCCCCTCTACTTGGATGCATCATCTTATATCCTAAGTGTCCTGCTTTTATTAATAAACAGTTCTGTCTTAATTTTTATGTGACTTATTTCAGACCTTCTGTTTGAAGCTAGATTCCAGGTAAAAGTGTTGTCATATTAATTTAAGACTGATATTTATTTTCAGACTTTGTTTGGATTGAGGTAAAATGATGGTCTGTGTTTAATCCTTTCACAAAGTGAATCACATGTTGGAAGGCAAACTTCTTTAATCTGCAACAAGTTTCTGCTCAGTTTTGTTGGTCACCATAGTGGCAAGTCACATGACAATTGTGTAGTCTTAATGGTTACGTAAGTTGTTTAATGCTAACGGGGGTTCTGATCTTTGCTAACCTTGGTTTTAACCCATTTTTGCAATACATGAAAATTAAATTGAGAAGAAATTCCATTTAAGGATTATGTGTGTATTAGCAGCACTGGTTTGGTGAAAATCCTACTTGTAAAGAGGCCTTGACTATGGAAGGTATAGGTAGTGTTTGAATTCTTCTTTATGAGATTTCTATGTTTATCTTCAGGATAAACATCAGTCACTACTTTTAACATTGTTGATATCTGTTTCTGTTTGAGCTATGACCACATCTGTTTTAATGAGATTATGAAAAGGATCAAGGTAAGACTTGTTTCAACTGAGAAGTCTCACTATATGAATGAGAAGCATAAAAAATCTTTTTCTTTTTCACTTTGTCCTTTTTGTTATCAGGCCTTCAGTTCATTGTCTCAAACGGGTTCTTTTTCTTTCCTGGAAACAAGCGAACATGGCTGCACTGTAAATGTGTTGGGTTATTCCTGTGACTCAGTAAATCCAGAAACTGCACTAGTCTTTTCCTGACCCTGCCCTTGCAGGATGTACAACACCCCCACCCCCTCCAGTTTCCTTCTCACACAGACAGTAATGTGAGGAAGGAATAGATTTAGCCATGATAGAAAAATATATGAGGAGTGCACAGGGTGTGGGAGAAGAAACTATGAAATGGTAATGTTGCAAATAGAAGAAACTAGGTTACTATAGAAGGCATCAAGTCATTGCTGGAAATGGAGAGCAATGCTTTCCTCATCTCCTAGTCAAGCAAAACTGATGTGATTATATTTATAAAAACATGTCAGTTTACTTCTTATTTATCTAATCATTAGGAATTTTAAAAGTTACAGTTCTTTCTTTCAGGTGCTTGTTTTGCTTGATAACTGGCAGAGTCTGGGTGCAGAGACAGAGGAGCAAGCTTGACACGAGTGTTTTTCCGCCTCTCGTGTGTGTGTGTGTGTGTGTGTGTGTGTGTGTGTGTGTGTGTGTGTGTGTGAGAGAGAGTGTGTGTGTGTGTGAGAGTGTGTGTGAGAGAGATCTGCCAGTCTGTCTAGATTTGACATTCCTTTCATGCTGGAGATGCATGAAAGGAACGACATGATCAAGGGACCACTTTGAATAAACACAGCAATTTTTATATATAGTGAGTCAAGAAATCTTATTCAGCAGGAAGTAAAAGATGATCAGTCAGTGGAAATTTTAAACACAGCATTGCTTAAGTATCCTAAATACTGTGAAAATAACATCTATCAAGCTTATTAGGCAGGTGATCCTGATATTATTGTTTTGGTCCCCTTTTGCTGCAGTATGAGCGACGCTAGCTCGTCCATTGGATCGGGCCATTCTTTGCTGCTGATGTGCGTCAGTAAGCCTTGATCACCCATGACCCAGTTGCTGGTTCACCACCATTCCTTCCTTAGATCACGTTTAATAGATGGGCAACTTATTAAAACACATGTAATCACTACACTACATGTGTTTCGTGGACTAGAAGCACCTCAACGTGCGAAGCCACAGTTGTCACTCAGAAAAAGGTGGATTTCCTATTCCAGTTTGGGAACTGGTGCCCCAGGTGGAGGAATCCAAGTATTGGGGGTTTTGTTTAAGAGTAAGGGGAGAGAGGAGCTGGTCACTGACATTGACAGTGATGCGAATGTTGTACCAGTCTGATATATCATGCTCGAAATAAAGATCACTACACTGGGACTGTATGATTATGGCCAAAATAATAGTGATTATTTTGAACAGGATTGAAATCATGATTACTTTTTATGATTACTCATTTATTTTTATTTTTAAGTGTCAAAAATGGTTTTGTTGGCTGATCCTCTATGGCAGACAAGTTGTTCACCTTCGGCTGTACTAGACATCTGAATTGTTTTCTGTATCTGTCCTTTAACATGGTGTTACACGTCCAGACTAGTCCCGTAAACCTAAAGCTGCATGGTACAGGGAAGAGCAGTGATTGACACATACAGTCATGTGGTCAGACACTGACTTGGTGAACATTTGATTTGCATTTGGTTTTACTTTGCATTCTAATGGCAGAGCATGCATTTTCAATATAATCTCAAATTATGACTCACCATTATGTAGCAGGATTGGGGACTGGTCCAGATATTACTCACTCTGTGTACATGCTTTCACTATCAGAATTTCTTTGTTTTTATCTCTACATAATAAAAAGCTCAGGTTTAGATAAGTCCCAGTTTTGGTTTAGCTTGGAATTTTCAAGCAGTGAATAATAGTGCCCACTTAGGTGAAGGTGTGTGTGGGGGGGGGGACATTTTTCTAGAATGGTCTGGGAGGGAGAGGTCAGACGGCATCAGACAATAGGTGTGGTGTGACAGCCTTCCATTCGCCTCTGTGGTAATCGAGTTTGAGGCACAGGGCCATAGCGCTAGTGTAGATTTGAAACCATGAATGTCAGAGGAGATGGTGTGACTGGAATCTTTTGTTATCATTGGCCAGGACTGCACCACTGTTTGGATCATGTAGGGAACAAACACAGTGTGAAAGACACCCTGTTTGTTAGCTGGATCTGGCCAATGTCTGAATGAGTTAGTAGTTCAACTAAAGCTGATGATTTACTGCAGTGATTTGCTTGTGTCAGTCTCATAATAAAGCTAGAGATTACTTATTGGACAAGATAGGATGTGACAGCGAGAAATGTGCAGATTACCATTGACTTGTTTGAACCTGAAATCTGACTTGGAACACCATCAAGGTTGGTTTTTCTATTTAAATTTATTGGTGTACCATTTGTTTATATAGTAATAGCTCATATGCATATAAATGTACAGAGTCTGTGGTTCTCAGGACTTTGAGTTTTCATTCCAGACATTTTTAGATTTAAAATATAAAGTCATTCCCAAATGCCAACAATGTAAATATGATGAGATGATGTGGAAAGAGCACACTGTTTCTTTAGATTCATGTCTTGACGCTGATTCAATCTGCATAGTTTTTTAAATCAAGTAAAAATGATCTAGTGCTTGAATAAGGATTCAGTCCCTTTTAGTGCATATACTATGCACATGTTGGTAACATTCACTCAACTAGGCTGTTGTTAACCTGTGGTTGTTTCACTTATTTTGGTTCTCAGTCTGATGCGCATGCAAATTAGAACAATGTGTGTGAGAGTGCTGCACAAACAAAATGAAACCTCTTTAACCTGTCCCAGCTGTCATAAGGCTGAATGCAGGGTGCAACCTAGACTGAGGCCAGTCCATCACAGGGTTGCTAACCAGTGCACTACTGTGCCACCTCAGTGTAGTGGGGTCCCAAGATATGCTGGAAAAACATAGAGGGGTTATTAAACCATTAACCAGGTCCAGTTATCCTGCTTTTACTGCTCAGCTGACTTTTAGTTAGCATTACATGATGTACTCACATACTGAAAGTGTATGTGCCTTTGCGCGTGCATGCGTGTGTGTGTGTAAACAGCATGAAAGGCCCAGCATTTTTCCAGAAAGGGACATGGACAGCAGAACCTCATTACATTTTAAAGGAGATTCCCATTGGATAAATACACATGTAATCTAACAATGTTTCACTGACTCCTTACAGAGCACTGTAACCATACAGAGCATTCAGATATTTACTGTGTAATGTAGACTTTTCACTGCTGTCAAAGCGTAATGTTATTACTTATCAGACAAAAAGAAGCAAATGTCTGAATGTGATGGAAATGGTATCACTGAGCTTTTCCACTTGGTCTGTTGGTGTGCTGTGAACTTCTGACAGGCTCAGTTTGTCTATGCCTTTATCTCTCACTCACTCATGTTTTTGTCAGTACTTAAAACTAGGTTAAGTCAACATAATCTCTCTCTCTCTCCTCTATGTGAGTGTATAAAAATCGTCTTGACAATGTTCTTTTTAACCAGAAAAAATATGTTCATGTTTACAGGAAATGATAATATGAAAATTGGAGACCATTAGATCATTAAGGTATTCTTTTCAGTCTCAGTGATGTGGTTAAAATTGACCTTTTCTCCCCAGCCACAAGATTGTGCCCTTTGGATCTGTCTTCCTTTGTTAAATTTCCTGTCAAGAGAAGGAGTTCCATCTGACTTCCTGTTAGATTGTGACATTTCCTGTGATGTGGAAGGAGGGGGGTTGGTACTTGCCTTGCGAAGGCCTTTCAGCTGTTTAAAGAAACAGGATGCAGGACACTGCATAGGCCATAGGAAAAACTCTGCTGAAAAATTTATCAGCTGACTGTAGCCTCAGTAACACAGCACAGACTTCAAATATCAGTTCAAATGTTGTAGCAACAAAATGGATTCACCGAACGATAAGAAGGAAGTTGGATAGAAACCTTTACAAGATTTAAGATTTATTTGTTCCCACAGCACAAAATACACAAAGATACAAAAAACTTTAATTGCATTTCTGTTAACTTTTACCCACACTGAAAAATTGTCATTTCATGGCATTCCAATGGTAAAGTCAGAAAAGCCTAAACAATTGGGTTTGTTTGCCTTTTTAGGAAGGCAGAACCATTCATGCTTCACTACCAACACAAGCAAGCAATTTATTTATATAGGACTTTCAGACAACTCCCAGCTGAAAACAAAGTGCTGTACACTTGACATGACAAACGAAAAATCATTAATTACATTAAATTAAAAATAAAAATCAGCACATTAGATAAAATGAAAGAAGTAAAATCATAACTGCAACACAATACTTTGTGTTTGTAGTTTGTATTTAAAAACACTGCTGCAGCCTGGTCAGTGTTCTGTTTAGTAGGGTGCAAATACACAAAAGTGGCAGCAAAGTTTATGTTTTACACTTTTCCTACAGTTTAGATTCAGTTTAGATGCCTGCAGTTTACATTCCTACATCTTGCTTGTTAACCTTGGGTTGGTGGGGCTGCTCTGACTTCCTGGGTTGGGAATCCTAGTTGTGGTAGTGTCACAGATGAAGATTCCAACTTGATCTAGACCTTATGTTGTGGGCCTATTGCTGGGCTGAGTCGAGACCTTTGAATCTTGTTGCTCATCTGGGTTGATTGATGCAAGTTTATATTAAACATGTTTTCAGTCAGCACATCTTAGATGGCCGCTGCAGAAAGCAAAGAGCACGCATTTGGACAAAATGTTTTCCTGTTCTTGATTTGATCAACAATTGCAACAATTTTGGTGGTTTGAACTCACTGTTTGCTTTGGTTTTCATTTTTAAAAGTAGCAGTTTAGTTGTGCTGTGTTGTCAGCAGTGTGCTTTTCTTCCTCTGCTCTAAACAGGGACTCCGTCCCGAACTCTGTCGACGATGTCTCTGTCCATTCGCCCAGTCAGACGCCTTACCTCCAGATCCATCACTAGGAGCCAGAGCTTTACTGGAGTCAATACCCACGACAAACCTTACCGGTATACACATGCATACATACACACGCAAATCCCTCCTAACCATGTGTTTTTTCTAGTGTAAAACGGCTTGTTTATGTACTATCTTGTACTTATGTGTAATAACTTGTCATAAGGACAAGTGTCTCTTTAATGTGATATATTGATGGTCTGTGACATGCTAAGGTTTCAGTCATCAATTTGATTGATCATCAGTGTTTGTATATGAGCCGTGAGCTGTACAACGCCCAGGTCTGGTCTTGAGGGATGTTATGGCGATCTCATAACTTTAGGTCAGGACTTCTAATAATGACTTGGTGTTTGTGGTGCTGCAGGAACCTTGTGGTGTTCAGCACTCCTGGTCTCAGCAGGAAGCCCAGCAGAGCAAGCAGATTGTTTACTATGTCGATCAAGGCCAACCCCCCACCGAAGGTTCCTCAACCAGAGCGACTGGATGAAGTGTATGAAGCACTGAAGAAAGGCCTTCAGTGAGTATACACTCAACAAATGCATTTCAGAGAAAGAGAGAGAGATTACGAGTGTGTGTGTGTCTGTGTTCTCAGGTCTTACCTGCAGGTTCATCAGATGGACTTGGACACACTTACCAGACAGATAAAAGAATCAAAGAGGAACTCTAGACTGGTATGTTGTTACTTTTGGCCCAGCATAAGAATAGATAAAGTGAGATAGTTTCAGTTGCTGATGACTTGATATTTTCTGCCTTGCAGGGTTTCCTGTATGAGCTGGACAAGGTGAGCTTCTTTGAATCCTTCAGACAAGCACATATTAGAAATAAGTCAATTTTAATATTACCATTCTTGTTTTAAAATCCTGTGAAAGCTTAGTTATAAATGGAACAAATGCAAAGAATAAATGTGACTTTCTAATTTCCTTTAATCAGCAAGTAAAGGTGACTGAGAGGTACATTAGAAAACTGGAGTTTCACCTCAGCAAGGTAAGACCAGCGTCATTTCCTGACATGTAAGAGTATAGTTGTGAGATGACTTTTTGTATGACTTGCTAATTACATTGCTCTTTGTGCACAGGATGAACAGATGCTGAAAAACAGTTTGATAGAACATATTTTCTACAGCTGTCGTGGCTGTGTTTCTGTTATGATCCTGCATTTGTCATTTTTAAATTCGCATT